TCATGCTAGTTTTTGTTCTAAACATTATGTCACACATATTAAAGTAGCAAATAATGATCTTGTTCCATTAGCTGATGAATTAAATTCAATGATTAATAAAATACAATATACAAATCCAATGCATCAAGCACTTCATCAACTTGAAAAATCACGTGAAACAAGTCATCGTAATATTGATACGATATATGATGAAAAAAAAACGACAATTACAATTTGAAGTTGATATAAAAAAAGAAATGCAATTAAATAAACTTCTTGAATTAAATCAAAAAGTATCAAAATTAATTTCGGATGGTAATGCATCATTTAAACAAATTGAAAATCTTAAAAGAGATTTTCAAGAAGTTCAAAAGCAATATAAAAAATTTGGAAAAGCCAATTTTATTCGCTCTAATTTTGAACCAAATCAACTTAAAACAATTGTTTCAAATAAAGAATATTTTACTGGTGATGATGGTACATTATTATCCTATGAACATCAAGTTAAATTAAATGAATTTTATGGAAAAAAAAACACAAAAATGGGAATTAATTTACAAAGGAACAAGAGATAGTTTTACTAGTGGTGCTTTTCATAGACATTGTGATCATCGTGGTCCTACAATGACTATAATTCAATCAAAATCAGGTGGTTATTTATTTGGTGGATATACATCTGTATCATGGAGATCATCACAAGGTTATGTTGAAGATAGTTATGAACCATTTTTATTTACTTTAACTAATCCACATGGTATTCCACCAACGAAATATCCTGTTATAGAAGAACGTTATGCAATTTTTAATAAGAAAGAATGTGGTCCTACATTTGGTTGTGGTCATGATTTGTATGTATGTGATGATAGTAAGATAAGTACAGGTAGTTATATTTATTTTCCTTGGTCATACAGCGATAGAACCAATCGAGGTTCCGAAACTTTTACTGGTACTAAATATTTTCAAACAAATGACATTGAAGTTTATCGATTGATAGAAAATTAAAATAATATTTATTGTCAAGTTTTTCGAAAAGATGTTTGTTTATTTTGTATAAATAAAAAAAAAAGAACAAAAAAAACTCAGACTCAATTTTTTTCTATGCACCATATATTTGCATTAATGGGCTAGTATTATTCAAAAATCAGTAACGAAGAAAAAGTAAAAGAAAAATTTCACATTGTAACAGGAAAAGATCTCGAAAATAAAAGAAGAAAAAGTCACTAACTAAGTGACAATAAAAACACTTGACTGTCAATCGAAGTAACAATTTTAATTTATCTATATCAGTAATATTAAAATAATCTCATTTAATTGGAATGTACTCTGCTTTCTTTTTTTTGAATTTAAATTATAATTCATCAGTTTTGATTTTAACTTCAGGATAAGTATACATCGTTGCAATATTAACTATTTCTTCGGTTTTGTATGATGGATAGAGACCTGTTTGTCCACTAGTCTTATCGGAACCTTTTGAAAATCCATCCCAATGATTTCCTTCAGTACCAATAATATCACCACGTTCAAAATTAAATTCATTTGGCCAATTTGCTTTATTAGACATGAATACACGTTGATTATGAGCATTTTGACCACCAAAATAATATACATCATCAAGTGGTTGTACACGCCATGCACCATCAACGACTCGTTGTTGCATTACTTCATAAGCAACACGACAAATCTAAATTTTAACAAAATATTATTTCATATATATTTCATTACGTGTAAATATATTCAAAATACCTGAGAAGAAAATGTGCAAACTAAATAATCAGTTAGCGAAAGAAAATGAATGTCTAACAGGACACCTTTCAAAGATTCTGTTCCATATCTTGAATTTAATTGAGCTGATTGTGCTACAGCAGTATCACCATAGAATATATAATCTGCATATCTAATGATAAATACAAAAATAATATATATCATAATGTATCTCATATAAGACAATTAGCCTTCGTACATATCGCATTCAAGATTATAACAAAAGCTTATTATTTACAATGATGAATTTAAATTACATCTTGTTTCTTTTAGACTAATCACTGTTATCATAGACTAATATTCGATCTAGAAATCCCAGTCTTAAAGGTACTGCCCACAAATTAAACAAAGAATTAAGTGTATCATGTTTAATTAAGCTATAAATTGTATATAAAAATTCTTCATACTTAGCACGAGCATCCTTAAATACAGATGGTTCATCGGTTGCTAAATAAACACGTTTTTTAAACTTTAAATTTGGATTTTGATATTGATAAATAATATAATAATCTTCTACATATTTCATATATTCAGATACATCATGAAAAGCTGCTTCACTTCCAACTTTATCTGTTCGTCGTACATGAATTCTTAAAAGATAAAAAGAATCAATCGAACAATATCGATAGAATTTTCTTGTATTTACCCAACAATAGGTGTTTCAAATTTAATATCGGCATATTTTTTCTCTAGAAGTTCAGTTAGCCATGGTTGCGGTCTTAATAAATATTTCATTAATTGTCCAGTAAACCAAACAAATGGATTTCCATGTAAACGAATAAGTCGTTCAGATATATCTTCTGGAATAGCCATTGGCATAAAATCTTTTTTCGGATGTATATTATCAATTAGTGGAATTTCTACAACATCCGCTGTTTCATAACGACCTAGAACATAAAAATATTATAGAATTTTCTTTTTCTTTTGATAGATATTAATTTAATTTACCCCAAGCTGCTCCACCTGCAGCTAATGCTGTTGTACAATTTCTGCTTAGTGTTTGAAAGATTTGATCAAATCCTCCTGGATTATATCGCCATCCATCTGAAGAAAAAAAATCGATTATAAACTAATTTTTTTATGCCACTAAAATAAATCTTGATAATACCAGAAAAAAGAATCATTGGTCGACCAAGTGCATAAGCAATATGAAAACAATGCATAGCATGATGAATTTCACATCCATAACCACAACCTTTATTTATATTACATGAAACACGTTGAACTTCGCCACATGGTTTCGATGGATTTTGTAATGAGTTTAAACGTGCTTGCATTAGTTTTGAAAGACTTTCATGTTCTTGTTCACGCCATGATTGATAACCATCAACTTCAGTTAAATTTCGAATTGATGCCAAGAGAACTCTGACAAAACAAAATATAAATAAATAATACATATTATTAATTCAAGAGAAATAAACCTATTTTGATCAGAAAATCGTGCAATAACTTTTGACCATTTGGCTTTATCATCATCAGATAGCTTTTCATTAATTTTATATAACTGATCAATTGTAAAATAAGATAATTCACGCGTTTGAGTTTCAATTTTTCGTCGTAATTGTTCATATTCTAATGCAGGTCCATCTAAATAAACAATAAAGAATTAAATATGAAATAAAATACAAATATATACTAACTTTGAGAACCAGTACGGCAATTCGTTTTCGAAGCTAATTTACGTTTAACACGTTTCAATTCTTCTCGTAATTCTTGACATTGAACATTATCACTATAGAGAGAAAGAATAAAATACATAGAAATATTCAAGTACAATTTAAGTTAAGTTAATATGGCAACTTTTTCTAAAAGTATTTTCTTATAGAAATTCTCTAGTATCTCATTAATAAAGGGTTGTTTAGTAAACCAGGGTGTGCGGTGGGTGACAGTGCTGATCTGAATGGTAGATGAGAGTGTAGGTTGACCCGAATGTGAATATTTCCTTTTATTTAAATATCCACACCTCGAAGATTGAAATAAAATATTACTTATTCAGTATAATTATTATCTATAAAATATCTCCGAGCTTTTGTCTTCGGCAAAAATGTCCTTCTGGATTTTGTCCATTGAAAGATGTCTTCGGATAAAATATCCTCTGGAAAAATATCCTTTGAAAAAAGTCCCTTGTGTAAAAATGTCTTTCACTTAAAGTCGAGTGTATAAAATGAATTGGGCCAAGATGCAAATAATATTATGGTAAGAAAATGTTGGTAATTACATCACTTTCATGGAGGATACGTTGAGAATAAGATGAAGAAATACAGAACAAAAAAAGGTGGGTGTGAATGTTATACTTAGCTAACACTTACCCACACCCATACCCCTTCACCCACACTGCCCCTCACCGCCACCCACACCCAAACCGACACTCACACCTACACCCGTTAATTTCGGTTATGATTTACTTAAAGGACATTTATAGTAAAAGACATTTTTTGAAAGACAAAAACTCGAGAACGTTTTTTCAAGGACATTTTTTTGAGGACATTTTCAGCGGTTACCAATATTTTTATACAAAATTGATCGTATATTAACTCACTTTTCTACTTGTGCTTTAACATTAATATTATTTCCTGATTGTAATTGAGAAAGTTTCTGTTGAAGTGATTCAACTTCACTTTGTAAATATTCAATTCGATCTTCTAATGCTTTATCATTATTTGTCGGTGTTGAATGAAATGTTGTAAATATAGCATAAAGTCCAAAAATCCATAATGATATAAAAATAATATAAAATTTATTACCCAGTAAAAACATTACATATCTGAAAATCAATAAAAACAATGTATCGAAATATTTTGTTTATTTCATTTCTTCTATTTTTTTTTTTATTTTTTTATTCCTAATTAAACATGTAAAGCAGTTTTTAATTGATTTATAACAGCTTGTTTCATTAAATGAAATAATTGTAAATTTGCACTTGTTGCTGCATCTAACATATCATTATAAATATCATGATGAACACGTGATTCACATGTTAATGCAACAATATCATTACGTTGTGGCATAAGTGTTAATGTTAATTGAGGAGATTTTTGTTGTTCTTCTTGTTGATTAAGATCAATAATACATTTATTTTGTATATAACCAACTGTTGATGAACAAACAAAATCTTTCATTGGAATGCCTAGCAGATGAAGAAGAGAAAAAAAGAAGAATTGATTATTAATTTGTCACATCTCATGGGAAATGAACGATCTAAACAAGTCATTTCTACAGAAGGAAAATGTCATAAGAGAATTCATATTGGATAATTTATTAACTATATTAAATTTTCTTCTTTGAACATATAAAAAAAGATAGGAACAAACGTAACTATAAAAACTTTTATTGACACTTACGCTTAATATGAAATTTTTCTTTTTTATCTTGTCGGGATAATTATATATATATATATATATATTTTTCTCCTTTCGACTATTAAATAAGTAATACCGCAGATGTTGTGTGACAGATCATCTGGGTATTTCAGAATTTAATAAATATGTTAGAATAGGAAATATAGTTGTAATTTTGAACTTAATACTTAATGAGAAAAATACAGTTTTAGAATTTTTTATTCCAATTAAACTATAAATAAGTCATAAGAAAAGATGCGATAGACTTTATTTCTAGTACAAATATTTTCAAATAGCGCATACTATTTCAGATACTAGAATAGAATGATGAAGACAAGTGTAGATATAGATCATTGAAGATACAGGATACTAAAAATGATGATGTACGAATCGTAGTATAGGTGTAGTATTGTAAACGTATAGCAACACGACGATAGTGAATACGAAAAAAGGAAATTACTCAAAAATGCATATTAATACAAATAGGTAAAAGAGAAAAATATATGGCGATTAATATTGTCGTATCCTGCTGCTTATATTACTTTTTGTTTTTCCGTAATCCTTTAAAAAATCGATAATTGCTATTGTTTAAGTCTTTTCATGCGGTATAGCTGTTGTTTATATTCTTTTTCTCTTCATTTTCATTTCCATAGTTTCTCTACTTATTACTATACTAAGTCTCTATACTGTTCGACATCACATTTTTTTTAATGGCTGTCACTATCACTTAAAGATTCGCTCATTATTTATTTTCTTTGTATTCAATTTATTCATAAGTCTTGATTCATTACCTTTCATTAGATATATTCTTCCGCTAATTCTAACATTTTCTATACGAATAAATTTCCAAAGACACGATAAATTAATACGTAATCTCTTTTTCTATAAATACTATTACAATTCCTAGGAAATAAAAATTGACATTCCTATTACACCATATGTCAATTAGTTTAACTGAAGATATGTTATTCTACAATATATATATCATCGTGTGGTCTAATCAGATTATATTTCTATCGTTCAAACAGAAATTTTTTTTTGTCTTCACCTGCATTAATAAATGCTAATGTTGTTGCATTAACACATGGACAATAATCATTTCCATCTGATTGTAAAATTTTTAAATGTATATCAATTTGTGATTTCGGATAAGTTTCTGTATTAACCGCTTGTTGAAAAACTCTTTGTATAGCCATTTGTAATTTTTGACTTTTCATATCACCAAATGTTCTTAAACGACGTTCACTAACACAATATGATGTCATACTAAAATCACATGTAATTACAGCTTGTTCTTGATTTGAACGTGATTCACCTTCATATGGTCCATAAATTGTTGCAAGTAATTTACAATTTCCATGTTCCATATAACATGAACCATCAGCATCCGAAACAACATTAAATGAAACACGAAAATGACGTAATTCATCTGGTTTACGTCCATCTTGTCGATAACCTTCGATTGATATAAGATCAAAACCTGAAATATAATCTGTAGTTAATGTTGATGTTAATTCATTAGGTTTCTTCTTTTGTGTTGGAGATGATGTATCCATTGAATTAGTTATATCTGAAAGAAAAACTGAGATTGTTAATTTTATAATACTAGATTAAGATATAAAAAAAAAGAGTAAGAAGCTTTCGTTGGAAAAGAATATCTGAATGTTTTATTTATTCATTTTTGATTATTCAAATGCAGGAAATCGAGCGTGAGTGGGATTAAGTATATCAGCCATATAATAAATCGTTCCAGCTAAACCTAAAAAGAATAAAAAAAAGTTTTATTTTATTATATTTTAGAAAGAAATGTTTACCTTCAAAAAGTGAGTAGGGACAATCCGGTGCTCTTGGTAAATTATGTTTTCCATAATCCAAACAAAATTCAGAAAACTATAAAATAAAAATATATATATTAAAAATAATAAAATTCAATTAAAAATTTACTTTTAATGCACGATGAAGCCATTTCAAATCATTTGTTGCACGATAAAGATTAAGAAATACATAACCATTGCCTGCTGTACCATGACAAAGACCATAACCTTTTGTTAAAATTCCACGTTGCCAAACAACATCACCAGCTGATAATGCTAATTCCATATATGAACTATCTCCAGTCACCTAAGATAATAAAGAGAAATATATGCATGGGAGTCTCGTTTTCCCGCCTTGAATAAGTGTCAATCTCTATTAAGCGATTCTAGTATAGTTTAAAATCATCTTTCAAATAAAAACTGCACTATCGCTGTTGGGAAATTATTTTATAAAGAAAATATAAATAAAAACCGTATGTTATTTACAATACTTTTTGGAATATTTTAAGGGGACAAAGACATAACGTACTAGGTGTCTCGAACGCCTGGTATTTGCCCAGGTATTCGAAATTGATCTTTTTTTCCCTTTTTACCGGGAGTCCGTAAAACATGTTGGTCAGGATATTATAATTTTAAAAAATACAAGGAAATCGGAACAAAATGCTCGACAATACGTAAAATATTGTCACAAAATCAGATGACAGTGTGGATGTGGATATGTAATATGAGAGAAGAGTGACTTATACACCCACTCTAACACCCTGCTTGTTTTAAATCTTTGTCATTCCAAAGATTTTGTATGTTTTTATATATCAGAAAATCGTAATGAACATCTCTTCAGGGAAATCATAAAAAAAAAGTTGGTGCGTTATGTTTCTTTTCAATTTTAAGTAAAGAATTTTAAAACTTACTTCATATGCTCGAACAAATAAATAAATAAAACCAGGTGCACCATGACACCATTGTACAAGTTTATCTGATTTACTATCACTTGATGAGATATAATTACCACTTGATAATCGTTTTGTTTTAAGAAATTCAATCGTTGGTATTAAATGAGATTCAATATATGGTCGAAGATGTGTAAATGATTCATGATGTGTTACCTATAAATATATTGAAATAATGAAAATTATTTAAATCAATAGAATTTATATACTTTTAAAAGAAGATAAATTATTCCTGTAACACCATGTGCTGCTCCCATATATTCTGAATCATGCCATTTATACATTAATGGTGATTTTGAACGTGTTTCTCGTGCATATTTTTCACCTGATTTAATTATGGCTTCAAAAATCTAAGGAAAAATAATTTGGATTTGAAATAAAAATCAATTCATTTCTTTTGTTTTACATCAGTAACATGTTGACTATCGATAATATTATGTCCAATTTCTTTTCGAAGAAACATTAATGTATAAAGATAACCAGATCGTCCATAGAGATATTCATCTGGATTTGAATGACTCAAAGCTTGATTTTTCATTGATAGGATTCTAAATGAAACAAATAAATCATTATTCTCTTTCCCCTAGAGAAGAGTCCAGTTAATATAAGTTGTTTGCTTGTGTCCGCAGGGTAAAAAAAACATCGAAAATCGATTTTCTGGAAAAGATATTTCTAGAGGTCTTTCCATGCGGAGACGTCAAATGTGCGCCTCATTTGCTCAGACTACTGAAAAGGAGGGGCGATGAATTAGGATAAGTGACGTGGATTGATAGAAATCGAGGTTTTGGGTAATGCATTTATATGGGTATCCAAATGTTCTCCTGCTTGTAGTGCAGAGTGTAGCGATCATAAACTGTTAGCTTTCTTGCGTATAAGATTACTAACACTTCACTTATTCATTAAGAGCTAGTTCGACAACCTATTGGTGCCGACAGTTCAAATATGTTTTGATCTGCGTTTACGTGTGTAGGATTCGAGTATATGCAGAGAGTAAGGTTTTCAATTGTTTTTTTCAGTAAATGTGAAGAGGATGTATTTCTACGAGAAAGAGCTAAGCGAGTCTTCGGACAAGCGTTACTTGTATATATATATAATTTTTCATTTACCTATTAACATATTTATTTGCTGTTTCTTGATCACCAGATTTATACGAAATAACTGCAGCTATTGCTAATGGTCCTGGAGCACCACATAAAAATGTTATTCTTCTTTCTATTTAAAATTTTTATATAAAAATTAATATAGAATTTTGAATACTATTACCATCAAGTTGTTGTAAGGAAGAGTCAAGTAATAATTTTGCTTTCGAAATATAATTACTTTTTCTATCCGGAAAGAGTGAAGTAAGATGCATGTAAAGTAATGCAATACCTAAAACATTTGAAAAAAAAACTATTAAATAAAAAATATTTTTTGAATATTTGACCTGCACTGCCTGTATAAACTGTTTCATCAGATGAATCAGTTTGATTGATATTCTGTTCAAGTTTATGTAAATGATGTTCAATCCATCGAATTATGGGTGAACTTAATTCAGAAGGCAACTAAATAGAATAATTCGTTAATACATCAAATTAATAAAAAAAACAAACTTGATTATTCTGATTGAGATATTGTTCTCCATTGTAATCTGAATAATTATTTTTAAAATAACGATCAGACATGATTAATTTATCTGAAGAATAAAAAGCAAATGTTGAAAGACTAAAAAATAGATGTAATGATTAGAATGTGGAATGAAAAACGAGAAAATAACTTTGAGATTTTATACGGTTAGGTGTTATTAGTAAAAGAATAACAATAAAAATCGATTAATTAAAAAAATCATAAATCTGTTTTATAATTTTCTAAATTTAAATGTTCATCTGTATCTTCATTTTCTAATGTTTCTTCTTGATTATCGTTTTTTGATGTTTTGCTCTTTTGTTTTTCATCAACTAATTTAACAATTTCATATAGAATATCAGAAATATGATGTTGATGCTAAAATAATAAAAAAATTTGATTTCTTTCGAAAATAAAATAATCGAAATATTATCCTACTGCTCCTTTGATTAATTCAATTTCACCGATTGTTACTTCACCACTACCATCAAGATCAATAATACCATACAACTAAACATTCAAAATTTTATTTACTAATCCTTTTTAGTATTTTATTCAATATACTTCTTCAAAAATGGCTGCTGTATCAGAATCTGACGCTAAATCAAAAGATAAATGCTAGAAGAAACAAAAAAATTTATCATAAATATTTTAATGCAAAAAAATTACCTTCGAAAATGTTTCTTGCCATTTTTCAAATGTATTCGATTTTGTATTTATTAAATCCATAATTATTTCTCTATTATATATATATATATATCAATGTAAATAAGTAACGAAATATGATTTACCTAAAATTTCGTGGTTCATTTTGCATCGATGCCCAATCGATTTGATCAAGTGTAAATGAAGAATCATATGAATCATCTTTTGAACAAGTTTCGATTTGATTTAAATCAATATTTAATGCTTGTTTATGATGAATATTATATATAACTGTTATTGTATTATCTAAAGAACGTTCTTGAAATACCCAATTTATTGGAATAAATAAACAATCGCCTGCAGTTAAATTAGCAACATGATATTCAATATTTGTAAATTCAGGAAATTGATCAAAATCAACTCTGAAAAGAAAGAATGTGCATAGAATATAATGAAATATAAGAATTACCTATCGGGATCAACAGGTGTTTGCTGAGATTGTCGATTTTGTGGATTGACAATCTTTAAAAATAAATTAAAAAAATAATAATAAAAGCAAATATATATTCATACGTGTCGAATATCAGGATATTTTGCTGTATTAACAAGAGTAAGACGTTTATTACCACGAAAAAGACAAATTAATGAATTATATTCTTCATTGACCATTAACGGTGACGTATTGATATTATTTATTAGCATAATCTATAGAAAATCAATTGTATTTTTTTAAGAAAGAATGAAATAAAATACGAACTGCAGATTGTATTGTAGGTAAAACATCATCACATTGTAAAGGTCGTGGAACAATAATATATTTACTAAAAGAAATACATGTCAATTAATTTAAATCCGATCGAATACATAATATTTCATCTTCTTCTTTTTTTT